GACATTACCGAATCTAGACATAATTGGGCATTTGAATACACTGTTATTACCATATATTCCGCTAAAATGTCACACTTTATGCGTGTTTACCGTACGACATGTAATTACTATGGTTTGTCTCTCCCTCGTACCGTTTTACAATGCCTTTGAAAAGAAAAAGAATTAACGCTTATACACCATATCGCATCCTCATTTGTCAAATTGGATTACGATCGTCCACCCCAGCCGGAGTTGTTAATCAGCGCCGTGAATGTTTATTTTTATCAATGCAATTAGGCAACGTGACACGACACTCGGAGAGATTTTAACGTCAGACTACATAATAATATTGTAACATTTTATTCTTCTTTTTCGCGTCGCAACCGCGTTTCGTCGTTATTATTTTGCATTTTGTATGTGTATTTCGCGCGGTACAGCTAATTAACGTTTCGCGTACCTTCTACGTAGCGTGGCGTTAATTATTCCCGTCCTCGGCTATAATAAATTTATCAACAACCGTATATTATTTAAATCGCATGCTGAAACTAGGTCTTTCGTTCTTGCATTCAGCAGAGTATTACATCAGCTCTCTTTGTCACTCGATGCTCGAACTTTTTATGCAAGAGATTATTCACATCACATACTTTATATTTACACAAGATGTGTGTATACAGATCATAATAGAATTTCTCGAGAGTATCGAAATATACGTCTACGTAAAAATGTTCTCGTTGTCCCGCGAGTCTCGACGAAGAGATGCCCACATTCTCGTATACCGGTGTATCAATAATTTTAATTATTTTATTCGCTGTACGAGAAAAATAATCGATCGATCGAGCGGCCGGGACAAGGCGCGACGCGCGCTGGCGGAAATAGATCTGGCAGTTGCTCTCTACGCCAGTTCCGTCGTCGTGCTCCAGCGGTTGCAAAATTCATACCCGGCCGAGGGCGTCGAAGTTTTCTTAATAACGGAATCCTGAATTCCGGCTGTTTCTCGAAGTAGGTCGTGCTCGATGCGATTTCCTAGGTCGTATCTCCATTTCCTGCGCGCGCGACTCCTCCGTATCTATCCAACCGGCTTCGCGTATCGGAGTTTCTCCTCGGGGACATAATTTTAAAACAGGGGCTACGTCTTTATAACGGTTAGAGAGGCGCAACCCTCTCTCTCTCTTCCTTCCCCGAGTTTTAATAAGACAATCGATGATGCAAATATGCTGTTACACTTCCCTTTACTCGGATCAATTCGCTTATTCGTTATTTCGGGTTTCCCATTGAAATTTTCTATATTTATGATTTCTTCAAGAGGGATAAAGAATCCACGTGTCAGTTGGGGCGCTAAAGTGCCCGCTAAAGTGCACGTGACGGTACGTGTAAAAGCGCGGGTACCAGCGACAAAAAGTTTTCTCGTATATCAAGGCGATGACTGCGGAAAAAAAAAGAACGCACCGCGCCACCGTCAAGCCGCCGTGCGTGCCTGCGTGGGCAACGAATAAATTCAAGCAATAAAGCTCGCGTAAAACGATCTCGGAGAGATCGAGAGAATTTTTTCTAACCGGATAAACAGATAAAACGTCCTACGAAACAATTTTGAACAATTCTCGGTTTGCATATTTAAAGAAAGCGTAACATCAATGTCTGATAACATTATTTTAAATATACGCGTTAGTGACACATTTCGATATGCAATAATATTGGAAATCTTTACTCGCGTCTAATTAAATGTAATATTTAAATGTATAAAACAAATTATATTAAAAAAATAATTTAATTACTTATTTAATGATGTTTCCTCGAGTAATTATATATTATTATGTATAATAGACTGCGCCACTAAATTATTAATCGTATAAGGAAATAACAATATTAATTCATCAAGCACGAGTGCACATATAAAGGAAAGGACGAGGAGGAGAGATTTAAACTCTCCGCATTTCTATTTAATTGGAAAAATTAATAATTATTTTTATACGACGCAAAATCATATTAAGGAAACCTCGCTACTTTGCGAGACATCGTTAAGTACATCATTATTTCACAGCTGATTGATTCGAGATGTTTCCACTAACTATACGATAATACTTGAAATATCATAGCGAATTAAATAGAGATGTCAAATACAGTATTTTCTGGTATGTAACATTCCTATTATATCGTGTGAGCGATCGATATGCTAAAAACACAATCCCTTTCGTCAGAAGTAACTCGAAATTTGTAAAATGGAAAATTTCATATTTTTCATCGTTTTTAAGCCGATATTTGAGATATATGTATGTATATTGACAAAATATATGACTGAATAATTTTTAAAATCATCATGATGGACCCCATTACGTTTAAAAATATAACTATACACGCGATAGATGGTATATAAATAAAAATTGATAAAATTAATTAAATATATGTATATTATAGAGAGAGAAAGAGAGAAAGAAATTATACCTGACTCTCTCTTGTCATCAATGTATAGGACACGCAAAAAAAAGAAATAGAAGGTGAATACGGACTCTGTAAAATATAGTTAGCAGTGCCACATGATACGTCTTATGCTAGTAAAAAGTGTAACTACCAGGAATGACTTTTTGTGGGAGAGAAGGTTAAACGGCGAAGAGTCGAACGATCGCGCCTCGAGGGGGATACATTTCGGCTTTTTCTCTTTCACGTAAAAGTTGACCTTACGCGTTTAAACGGTTCGTTAAGTTGATTCTCTCGGTTAGATTTTCATTTAATTTAACGACAGCGGCGTTTTTCAGTTCTCCCCCCCCCCCCCTCTTCCACCATCCCTCTTCTTTAGCTTTCGATGTCCCTCCGGTGACGCTAACGAACGTGTTTGCAATTTTGACAAATTTCGCGCTAGAATTTCGCCTTTCGCGCTAGCCCCGCTAACAATGTAAACGTCGTTACTCATCCGTCACACGGTTTTATAGGGAAGGTCGTTTCGTCGCATTTTTACAGACACACATCGCATTTCGCGCACATTCACGCGAGTGTACCCGACGTGATATATATACATATGTCGTAAACGTTCTTTACGCTTATCCTTCACAGACCTATTACGGTTAACATATACGGGTGTTATCCATTTTAACGCAACGTGTTGCGCGATACGCGCATCGTGTGTACGTACATCGATGGAACGCGAATGTAGACGGGTTAATTCAACGAAGCGGAACGGTAAAGCGTGCCGATAAGCGTAAAACCGTTGTAGTGCGATGGAGAGCAGCAGGGAAGGAAGATGCGAGAAGACGGAGCGCGTTTACTCGATTTCACTCGCGGGATCATCGAAAAACTGTCGCGCGAGCAACGATAGACGTTTATCGATGAGCTGTCAAAAAGTGATCTTCGCACTTTCCACTTGTCGATACGCATTACCGTACGCACTTTATTCTTAAGACTCGATCACCGTATATAGGCGCGATCTGAAACACGTGAAACATCGCACGATATATGTATTATCGTATGATATATGTATGCGCTTAAGAAAAAGAGATAGAAAGAGACGTTTAAAAAATGGACCGACATTATTGCAAAATGACCTTCTTGAAGCGACCTTTACCGCGAAATCTACTTACGGTGGACTTAACGACTTCGGCCGCGGTTAAAGCTATAGGTATGCCACGCAATTAATTCCCTAAGTTTCCACCGGCAAGCAAATCGATGCAAATCCTTGAACAAAATCCCTTACGACGCACCACCTTGTAATAACTCCCGTCCCGACATCGGATTTGCCTATCCAAACTTCCGTTAAAAGCGCGATCAAATGATCTATGTCGTGATGATTTAGATCATTTTGACAAGAGGAAAGAGATCGTGTCGATATCGTTGAAATTCCTATGGGTGCTATAGATCGTATACAGATCGCTTAACTGAAAGACACGCGATTCTATATAGCATATATAGTGTATAGTAGGATAGAGTCACGCAGATGTCGACGTATATGTTTTGTAAATGGATATGGATATTATTGTTTCCGCAATGATCGCCAATCATTTCGATTACGTTTTGAATATACTCCCGTTTCAATAGCAAACTAGACAATAATAACATAAACAATAAATATAGCGAGATATGTGTACGCCAAAAATGACACGCGTCGGAAATTCCAATTGTAATCAAACCAGTTTTGTAAAAAGAAAACAGCAAAATTACGACGGTCAAATTACATTCAATATATTTTCGAGATTGACTTGACGCGAAGAATAGAATGAAAGAATTAAAAGAAATTTTCAAATACCATGATTGATACAATTATGGAAAATATGACGAAAAAGAAGATCTTTTACATCTTTCGTACTTGTACCTGTCACGTGGTTTATGACGACAATTTAAGCCGGGAGCAAATGAATGAGAAAAAAATTCCGTCGCTTTCCAGCGTTATAAAAATTCGTAACTTGGCGAGTGCGGGATTTTATTTTTCGAAAACTTTAAAAGTCGCGAAACAAAACGGAAAGAGAGAAACGCGATTTGGTAAAGCGGACGAAACGAAATTTACTTCGATAAAGGAAGATGCTGTATACGTTGCCGGGACAAGCTTTTCTTTCGAGAACACGCGAGTCAGCGAAGATGCGAAGGATAGGTAGCGAATTTGAGCGAGCAAACAATACTGCAATAAACTTCATCGCGAGAATTTTCCGCGTGAAATCTCGTCTATTTCCGTTTGTATGGAAAATTGACGGCAAATGCGGAGAAAATGTTTGAAATTCGTAGCATGGTCGGCTACAATAGCGAGTTGCCGTTGTGAATTCTTTCAACTTTTGCGACTCGACAAAATCTGAAGGAAGCGCGGTAAAAGTCATACAACTTTTACGCGCGGTAAAATCTTCCTTATATTTTCGCGTCCGGACTCGTCACTTTCCGTTACAAGCAAAGATAATTAGACGAGAAATTTAATTATCGCTCGAGTTAATGAAACAAAATCGGAATGTTAGATAGAGGCAAGCTCTCTCTCTCTCTCTCTCTCGACTCGGTGGAGAGTGAAAAGCGACTCGCGTGCCACGACGCCAATCTCCCTTTGACAAATTTACCTTGATGAAAGGCGGAACGCGCGACGCCGTGCACGACGCCGTCAAAGCCGACGAATATGAGAAGCGGTGCAAGCGCTGCGAACATGGGGACCGTCCTGGAACGCGCGGCATTCGCGCCGCGGGCCTGCAGCAGCGTCATTCCTAATCCCCCGGTTAGACGCGACGCACTCGCGCGATTCTCCGATCCCGCGATTCTCCCGGGATGCAATGTCCTATATCACCCGCGACCCGCGAACCACTCTCTTACCACGCGATTGGTCGACGATTAGCGCACCTGGTGTCGCCTGGTGCGCCTTACGCGCGCCTGGCACGTGCTCGGAGCAGCTCCCGGCCGAGCGTCTCCGCTCATCTCCGTGCGTTGACGCGCGGGCCGCGAGACACTCTCTTCCCGTGGGATAAGCCGACAGCACCGTCGTCGGTGTCGCGGAGCGTGACACGCCGACGGAGGCACGTCGGCTCGGCACGCATCGACGTGGCTCAAGGTCACGAACGCGCGCGCCAGAGAATCCGCGAAGAACACTCCGATCCGACACGAGACGAAGCTCTCGCACCCCTTCTCTCGCCGCGAGTCCTGGTCCTGGTCCCTCTGTCCCGGGCCGTAGACTGCTGCCTGGAAACCCTCGGAGTACGGAGTACGCTCGTGCCTCCTCCAACCGTCCCTCCCGTTCACCCCCTTGAGCACCCCCGGCTCCGCGTTCCGTCCCGCGACTCGCCACCGATAAACTTCCTACGGGCACCCTCCGATACTCTCTCCCTCGCTCTCGCGATCTCTCTCTCTCTCTCTCTCTCTCTCTTTCTATTTCCCTCTTCGTTGTGCAGCCCGCACCAGGAACATCTAGCGGCGCTTGCGCCATCGTAACCGTGCCCTGATGCCCGGGCACTGCCGCTGCCACTGCTGCTGCCTCTGCCTCTGCCTCTACCTCTACCTCTACCTCTGCTTCTGCCGCTTCCTCGTACCTTGGCGAATCTCTCTACGGTCTGTCTCTCTTGTCCGCTCGTCTGTTCTTTCCTCTCCTTGTCGGTGGCCCTTTTCGCGGGGAAGACCCTACGGTAGTAGAGCTCCCGCGCGACCTCCCGCCTCTCTTCCCCTCTTTCTTTTTCGCTCTTTCGACAACTCGGCCTCTACGTTCCGAATTTCCTCTCTCCAGGATCGTCCTCCTGGTACTCGACGGAACGCTCACCCGTCTCGAGGTCTACTTCGCTTCTTCCTGCTACTCGGTCGAGGATCACCGGCACATCGACCGAGACAATTTGATGCTCGGCGAAAGATTTAAAAATAGCAACTACTATTAGCCGGTCCTATTGTTATTAGGGAAACGGCTCGGGTAACTTGCGGATGATGTCGTGGCCATCCCTCCCGTCGAGTCTCTCTTCTCTCGCCAATGTTCTCACTCCGGGACACCGTTTAATTTTAGATATTGTTCCCGGAATTGCGAGTTACGATAGCCACGCGTGCAACCGTATGTCGTCGCGAATAATACTTCCCGTAGATTAAACGCTATCTAATTCAGTTTATTTTCTACGTGCTGATCGCTCAGAATGTCTATCTCTTGGAAAAACGACTCCCACGACGATCAGCCGTAATCCTGTCGCGGGCAATAAAGAAACAACTTTGTACACCACCAATGGCATGGATATATAAATCCCCGCGATGGATATTACTTTTTTAGAATACGAAATAAATTCCTCCTCACAAATATAACGGAATACGCTCCCGCGGGAGTAATTTGAAATTAGTGTAACATAAGAATGCACAAAAGAAAATAATAATAATAATAATAAAGTTGGTAAAAAAAAAAGAACAATTGCAAAATGCAAGCGTTCACTTGTAAATTCATTATAATGTTCCGCACGGGTACGATAAAAATATATTTGTAAATTTAAATACTCTATATATATTTTAAGCCAATATTTTACACGTGTCATATGGCGAATGGCATCGACTAAATCCGCGTGCAAAAAAATGACAAATAGAGAAACGTCAAAAGCGACAAAAATAATTTCAATCTTATTCCTTTATTTGGTCAACATGTGAAAATTCCGCGATCATTATTAATAAAATTTCGCTTCGAGTGTGCGACGAGAAATAGTGTTCGTACGTTATCTATATCTATTTTTAAAAGCGAAAAATATAGGTCTCTCTTTGCAACGCGACGTTTAATACAACGGGCAACTGGAAAATATTGCAACTGGAATTATACAAAACCGTAACTTTTCAGGAGAATTACAATACTTGCGCGCGATAGTCTTCTTTTTCCGTGCGCGAAAAAAAAAAGCTTTTTTTTTGTTTATTACAATAAAGTATATTAAATAAATACAGATGAATTTATAGATGAGTTAGTAAAATGCACTTAATTCTTTTTTCTAGTCAAAGATATAATATTTCTCTCTCATTTGTATGCCGTCGAATTATTTATTAATCCTTTATCATTTCGCGTTCGATTTCTCGCGGATCATCCGGCTTTATCCGTGGCTTGTCCGCGGTGGCGAATCGCGAGATCCGTTGCGACAGAACTAGACACACTCCAAGGGGATCACGACCTAGTAGCAACGATCTACACCGAATGCTCGTGAGGTGGTAGAGAGCGAAGAAGAGGGTGGTTGAGACAGAGATCTCTGAGCTGACGCTATGAGAATAGCGGGAGGGGTAGAGGAGTGGGAGAAGGGGGTGGAATTTAGAATGATGGAAGTGATTGTCCTGAAATTACGAGGTACGATCTCCGGCGTCGTTAGCAGATTCGAACGTCTGCGAACGTGTCGTACGAACGAGAAAAAATGAGGAGGGTAGAGTAATTGACTTTGAGATTCGACTCGGCTCGATCGTAGGACAAAACGGAGTGTCGAACTGTCAATATTTGTCGTTCTATATCGCCACTATGTCTAATATTCAAAAATCTCGGATACTGGATATACATATTGATTTTGTTTATGGAAACGCACTCTCTGTATGTGTATCTTTACCGCACTGAGAAAAAAAAAGTTGTTAACTTGACTAAATGCGTTCAACTAATTATCATTTTTTTAATTGAAATATTTAAGTACTTAAGTCAAATACGTCATGTTAGATTTAATATGTCGTATTTAATTTAAATACTTAAACATTTCAATTAAAGAAATAATAATTAGTTGAACGCATTTAGTCAAGTTAACAACTTTTTTTTTCTCAGTGCGCACGCGACATATCAACAGGCACATTTCGCGGTTGCCCGACGCTAAATTCCGAAATCTCAAGGAACAAGCGAAACCGGTGCTCGGAGATTTTAATGTATTGTATAGGCAAATCAATTGCGACACATGTATAAACGCTCACAGCTTCGCGTGCCCGACGATTAATCGACGGCGTATCGTAACCCTAACTAATCACAGGCAGGTGACTCGTATTGCGCATTATTACTCACGAATAAACGTAATTCGGTGCGTCGTCGATATAGCCCCATTACGTGTATTAATGATCACATATATTAGGAACGCACGTGGAGAGCGTGCCAAAACGAAGAACGATTGTGCGTGCACGCATAAGCGAGTCTCTACAAATAAATATCTATCGCGCTCTGTAATACAATGACGAAGTTTGTACATACGAATCTCGGATGATCGGTGTTAACGAGTTTTGTTACAATAAAGTTTCCGCTAAGATTACACTGTGACTAGAGGATAATTAAGGGCCGATGGTAGCGATTGTTCCAAAATTACGACGAACAATAGTTGAGCCCTATTCGCGAGAGGTCGTCTTCCCCTGATTAACTTTTAATCATCTCAGATTAAGCCCTTTTGTGTATCGCTACTCGTGCCTACCCCATAGTTGCGCGTGTGTATATATATTTCCTTATTACATATTTACGAATTAATTTATTAACGTACCGTATCATAAAACATCGAAGAATAAGCCGATAAGCGGGATTAAAGAGCGTCGCGTTTTATGATTTATGCTTATTAGTACCGTGAGTTTTGCGCGAGGGGAAAATCACGCGACACGAATAAAATGAGCGCGGCACAGAAAGGTCGAATAAAAAACGTTAATAAGCTTACGGGATAAACATAATACCCGTTTCATTAGAACGCCACAAAGCAAAGCCGTGCACATGTGTTTGAATATATCCGAAATTTATTTCTCTTTTAAATATCGTATAACTCGGGTCGCGCGTAGATATTTCATAGAAATATCTAAAATAATAAAATAATAAAATAAAATACGAAAATGTGCGCAAACTGTTTCTCTTTTATATGACGGGGAATGGTTTCGGATTACTCGCAGATGCGATAAACGTTTCCGTCATACTTCTGGCAGCAGCGCGGTCGCCTCTCTAGCCGCTGTAAAAGCGATTGTATATTCCAGCGATATTTCGGTCATATAATTAACAGATGAAGCTGCTGCAATTAATTGTGAAAGCAATTAATCGCAGGCGTCACGTATCACAGATAAACCTGATAGCTGATTAACCTCATTCGCGCCGGGGCAAGAGCGTTTCGTTTCTAACTGATCAAAGGATAGAGATTATGTACGAAAGTACGAGGAGAATATTTCGTTACTACTAAACTAATCTTCATTTTTACATAATATATGCGTTGGATGCACCAATCTGTACTTGCTTATAAATATCAAACAGATAAGAGTTTCGAAGTTGCTGCTTTATGACTTTGTTTCATTTCTTACGAGACATTCTCTCTCTCTCTCTCTCTCTCTCTCTCTCTCTCTCGATTAATGTCTTATTTATGCATTTCAAAATCTAAAATATAACACAGAATATTCTCTCGGCGGACACAACTTACAATCCAGATACATTGCGAAAATAGCCTGCCCAGATAAAAGTTAATTCAGTTCTACCTCGAGCCTCGAGTTCTTGCAAGAAACGATCTACGCGTATATTTTCTTTCTTAATTAATTCCTCGCTCGCTATCCGAACTTTTGCAGGGATTCAGATTGCACGCCCGAGAATGCTGAATCTAGATACGATACGAACGAAAACATAATCGTGCTGTATGGTAAAAAAAAAAAAAAGAAGCGACAACTTTTCTGGAGCATCAGTGATATGATATTAATAATTCATAAGACGCCGGTGTGTAATTTCCCCCGAATGCGGAAATCGAGGTAATTTGCGATAGCTTCTCGCAAAGTTGATTGTTAATCTATGTTCATGTGTGAAATTTGAAGTGTACTTGACATACTTTCGTAATAGCGGAGAAAGAGCGAAATGATTAATACGTTTTGTACAGCAATGTTAACGAGTATCTGACTAGAGGCTACTAATTTCACAAAGCTTTGACTCGAATAGCGAGTCATTGCAAGAAGTTCGTTAACACGCGTGACATTTCAAATAACGTTGTAACTCGCGTATAACCGAGCTCTACTGTAACAGAGAAGAATTATAACAGATTTCAAAAGAGAAATCCTTTTCAAATTTTTCTCGCGTGGA